CGTGGGAATGATTTGAAACCGTTGGATGAACAAGAACTGATATCATCAAGTAAGTAATCTCTTAACTTCAATGGTTTTAAACGTCTCTTGCTTGTTGAAAGACGTTGATCAGAAGAACAAGAAGTGATCGACGCCATTGAAATGTTAATTTGAGTTTCGTTTTTCAGTGTTTTAAGTTTGAGAAAGAGTTCAAGATTTTATAGTGAAGAAGATTAGAAAGAAGAAGAAGCTTATATGTGAGGTGTGTGATCATAAAACCGAGGTTTTTTATATTTTTTTTGAATTGAAGTTACGTTTGTTGAGTTTATTTATTGGTTTAGATTTGAAATGAGAATCTAATTAATTTGTAAGAAAGAGAGAGAGAGACCAGAAGTTGACCTTGTAATAAAACAGAAGACGAGATTCTTGCGGCTGATATTACAGGTTTTGCCTCTCACCGTCTCACGTGTGTGCATGTATACAAGATTTACGACAGTTAATATTTTTAATTTAATAAGTATAAAAACGTAATTAGTGTAATTTCCAGATCTCTATTAGCAGGCTCCAACTATTACATCGAAACTATAAAACAAGTCTGATTTGTGCAGACTCATTTTTGATATACTAATAGTTGTTAAGCTTTAGAATTAGTAGCGTCGAATTTAATTACGATGAGTGCATGTTATCGATTAAAAAAAACAAAAAGTAATTTAAAATGAATTATTTAGAGCTATTACATAATCCCTGTAAAAACAAGTTTAGCGTCATTTTTTTTTAACGTCCATGCATAAATCAAACATAATTTTTAACTTTAAACACAAAGTTTCGAATCTAATCTAGTTTGTTTTTAGACTAACGATTCTAGGTTAAGGTTGTAAATCTAAGAGCATCATTATCCATGAGATTTGGTGGGTATCATTAGATAAAAAATTATTAAAATTTGAGTAAAAAGAAGAAAGAGAGTGTTTTTGGTTGAAATAATGGAGTGTATTGAAATATAAAATTAATAAAATTTGTGTAAAAAGAGGAGATGAGTTGATACTTTTGAAGAGAGAGTGTCTTTGTATCAATGGGTTGATATTTTTGGAGAGAGTTTAAATTTTAGTTGGGGTGTGTTTAAATATAAAATTAATAAAAGTTGAATAAAAGGATGAAAGAGAAAGTATAAAGTTGAGTAAAAGGAAGAGAGAATGTGTGTTTTAATAATTTTATATCTAATGATACCCACCAAATATCATGGATAAGGGCATCGTTAACGTAGAGACACTCGAAAGTCTCTAAGTAATAATATTATAATAGT